TAAAATGTTTAAAATAAATGTAACCATAAGTTTTGCCATGTTCTGAAGTTTTGTCAAGATAATGAGTTTCTTAATTGTAATAAAAACTATAATTTAAAAAACAGTTAAGTTTTAAAGAACGTGATGATATATAAAAATTACTTTTAATATTGTTAGTGTCGTATTGTCATAATAAATATATTTATGTTTTACAATAATGATAGTTAGTTTAAGCGTAATCAAATACTTGCTATATAGTACAAGCTCTACAAAAAAAAAATGAATTTTTAAAATAATTTGGGTATACCCGAAACCCAAAAAATTTACCCTTACCTGACCCCAAAAAAAAATCAGGTAACCCGATTACCCGAAAAAATTTACCCTACCCGATACTCGAAAAAATCGAATGGGTAATTCGGGTATTGGGTACAGAGCTAAAACTAATAAAGAAACCGAATTACATTTTAATTTAATTGTACGTCAATCAAACTTATGAGTTGATCACACTTGATTCCGTTTCAATTTATTTGCCAACTTCATTATCTTCCAAAAAAGGAAAAAAGAAAAAAACACTAAACACCTCCTAAGTGTCAAGACTCAAGACATCCAACTTTGATATTATGAATCAATCATATATATTAAAAATTATTTAATCTATATATAGCTACAAAGTATTAATTAGCAGGACCATAATAACAATAACTTTTTCAAAAGCGCCTTTAAAAGTCATACAAGTTACTGTGAAACCTTATTTAAATATTAATCTCGATTAGGTTCTATATGTTTTCCACCAAATATAAATAGACAGTTAATACAAATAAAAGTAAGAATAATATAAACAAACTGATTTTTTTTTTTCTATTTTATAAAATTATCAACTTTTTTAAATCTTTTAAATTTATAAGTTAGTTGGTGTGAGATCCGTATATTATACTGGTTAATTTAAAAAATAATTAAACTTAAAGTATAAAAATGAAATATTTTTTAATGTACAACTTTAAAATAAGAAAAAAAAACGTATTTATTATAATTTAATATTATATATATATATATATATTAATACTTTACATATCTATTTTATCTACTATAATAAATGAAGGTTTTTTTGCCATATGTCATCTTTTCATTCATTTGGATACATGATATTTTCTAGATTTTTTAAATTTTCTATTTTCCACTTGTCATTTTATTGTATTTTTCATTTTATTAATTTAAAATTTCACATTTAATGTGTAAGGAAATATATATGTAAAGTATATATTAGAAAGAATTTATATATGTAATGTAATCAATACATTAAAGTCTCATTAATTTTAATAATTCAAAATTTTCTTATTTTTCTTATAAATTCAAACTTTTCAAATTGTTAAAATTATATATATATATATATATATATATATATATTAATTAAACTCATGTAATACATGAGTCTCACACCTAGTATAAGTATATAATTAAAAATTAAAACAAACCAAATATTGACAAGTGAATAATATTTATTTTAAAATTACCACAAAATAACAAGTATCAAAACACATAAAAAATTGACAAGTAGAAAAAAAAAAAAAAACAAAAAACTCAACAAATCCGATTATTATTATTATTATATTATAGATACACTTACAAAAAAAAATAAAAGATGTCCATTAAAAATATACACATATATACACCACTTTATCCCACTTGAGGTTTTACATTTGATAGGTGTTATATCGTACACGATTCCTCCTCCGCCATAAATTTTCCCCACGCTCCGATAGGACCACAACAACATAACGCCACGTTTCACGTTACAAGCAATCATACAGCGAGTGCATCCCACGCTCCTCTCGTGCATCTTTAGCCACAAGTGTACCTACCAGGATCGGATCTTCTTATTATTCCGTAAACACCCTTCCCTCACTAAACGAATTTACATTTCTACCCTTCTCCCTTTCTCTCTTTATGTATTCAGAATTCAGATTCTGTTTGTGCATTTGAGTACAAGCATATTCAAAAATCGAACCCTTGTTTCACTTGAAAGTCGGATTTGTTACTTAGGGCTTTCGGTTTGTAATGGTGGAGCCAATGAATGGTGATGAAGATCACGATGGCTCTGAGGGGGAATTTCTGTTAAAGGAGATAAGTATCGGCGGCGGTGGCGGTAGCGGAGGTACTGGTGGTCGTGACGTGTCATGGCGGTTGAACTTCGACGGGTTTCAGTTCTCGTCGGAACATAAAGAGAAGCCTCCTCGAGGTTTCCATGACTGCCTTGGGGTTTTAGGTAAAGTTTTTCAGTTATGCCTTTCCCATTATGTGTTGATTCTGATTGCTTTATTTGAATAATTTGATTTGAAGTGTCCAATACTGGAAAAATTCTGTCACTGATGTTCCAAAACTGTTTTGTTTGTTAGTTTATAGTTTTATCGATCTGTTTTGTTTGTTTTTTATGCTACTGATTTCTTTACTCAGGTTTATACTTGGTCAATTGATTTAACAACTAATTTAAACTCGTACAAACGACAAACTAGTCTTATTTTTGAGCTTTTTTAAATACATATGAAGATAATCGAGTCTGTAAGGCGCAATTCCCTTGAGTTTCGATGAACACACACCACATAGTTTCCTGTTTTCATGTAAAATCACTGCTAATGGAGTGTGCCTTTTCAATTTGTTTATGGCTTATATGCTTATTGCTTGACAGCAGTACTGGTTTAATTTAATAATTAATATACAAAAGTGATTACTAATGGAGTTACCTTTTGATTTGTGATCCCAAATATCCCCCATCACTTAGTTTTCCACTTGTTTCTTTATAGTTACTCATCACTTATAATAACTCACATAAGGCAGCTATACAATGATGTTTTTGCTTACTTGTTTTAAAATTTTCAGGTCCAGAAGACAATGTAGCAGAGTATTACCAACAACAGGTAGAGATGCTGGAAGGTTTTACTGAAATGGATGTATTAGCAGAACGTGGCTTTGTTCCTCGTTTATCTGAGGTAAAATTACTTAAATCTCCCTCAAACATTACTAATTAACACTTATAGCATAACTTAAAAAGCAAGATGCTTGTTCAACTTACAGGAAGAGAAAGCATGTTTAGCAAGAAGGGAGACACTTGCCATTAGAATATCAAACATTGCAAACATGATTCTTTTTATTGCAAAAGTTTATGCATCAATTAAAAGTGGTTCATTAGCCATAATCGCATCCACATTGGACTCCCTTCTTGATCTTTTATCAGGATTTATCCTCTGGTTTACAGCCTTCTCAATGCAAACTCCAAACCCTTATCAATACCCAATTGGAAAAAGACGAATGCAGCCTTTGGTTAGTATGCAAATGCAAATGCATTTTCCAATTCCTATTTACATTTTTTCCAATCTTTCTAATTTTCAAAAAATAATTTCTAGGGAATTCTTGTGTTTGCATCTGTCATGGCAACACTTGGACTACAGATAATCTTGGAATCTGTACGCACGTTAGCATCTAATGTAAGTAATCAAATAAAACAAACCAATAAATATAATTATATATCATTAACATGTAATTGTTATGACAAATTCAGGAGAAAGATTTCAACTTGACAAGAGAACAAGAGCAATGGGTTGTTGGGATTATGCTATCTGTGACATTGGTGAAACTTGTTCTATGTATATATTGCAGATCATTCACCAATGAGATTGTGAAAGCATATGCTCAAGATCACTTCTTTGATGTTGTCACTAATCTAATTGGATTAATAGCTGTTCTTCTTGCTAATTATATCAGTGATTGGATGGACCCCGTTGGAGCTATAATTGTAAGCCCTTTCTATAAATATTCTTATACTTTTACATAATGATGTGACTCTCATTTGTAATGACAGCTGGCGCTTTATACTATTCGGACATGGTCACTAACAGTATTGGAAAATGTGAATTCCTTAGTGGGAAAATCAGCTGCTCCTGAATATCTACAAAAGTTAACTTACTTATGTTGGAATCATCATAAGTCTATAAAACATATTGATACTGTAAGGGCGTATACTTTTGGATCACATTACTTTGTTGAGGTGGATATTGTTCTTCCATCTGATATGCCTTTACAAATAGCTCATGATATTGGGGAATCTTTGCAAGAGAAGCTTGAGCTTTTGCCTGATATAGAACGTGCTTTTGTTCATCTTGATTATGAGTTTTCACATAAACCTGAACATGCACAAACACATCTTTAAATTTGGGGTGTGATGGTGAGTTTTTGTTGGTGATTCTTTTGGGGATGTGTAAGGGAAAGATGATGGAGGGTGTTTGGTAGTTAATGGTTAATGGAGTGTGTAATGCTATAGTTGTTATTACTGCTGATTTCTTTATGATTATTGTGAAAGTAGATAATCATATTCTAACCATATTCTTTATGCTCAACGTTTACAGAGTAAGTAACGATATGATAAGGTAATGTTTGGTGGAAAGAAAATGAAAGTAATTAAGTAAGGAATGTTTATGTTATAAAACCATGATGGAAGATAAAGTTTGGTTTTTGGGTTTTTTACACACGTATAATCCGTAAGAGTGTTTATTTCGTCAAATCTGTATTTTTTTTCTTCCCTTTATGGATAATGTACTAAAAGAATAAATGAAGGGAGATCTCCGATAAAATCCTAATATTTTGGATCGTTTTACGGTTTAATTTTTAATTTTTATTTTTTGAATAGAAAAATCCTGATTATTTTATATTTTGTCAAAATTAACAAAATAATAATTTTTTTTTCAACAGGAAATGATAAATTATTGTATAAAATTAGATAATCATGATTTTTTTATTTAAAAAATAAATTTATGATTAAACCATGACTCAAAATATTAAAATTTTATCAAGATTTTCTTGTAAATTAAAACTATCTACAAAGCCATCTTTCAACAACTTGCAATGCCACTTGTATAACGTTAATATGCCACGTCCACATACTTCTTTCAACTATTGAAAGCCTTGCAAAAAAAAGTGATCTATATTTATGAATTGTTAATTGCTTATTTATTTAGTTATTCTTATGTGGCATGTATTTGCACCGATGTGGGTGCTCTAAGACATACATTAAGGGGCTGTTTGTTTTTTGTGTGAAGATTTGCGCAATCATTTTTGTCTGCACCGCGCAGACAACGCGCAAACATATGTCCTTACAGATTGTTTGTTTTTTGGAAGTACGCAGATCAGAAAACGTCTGCGTGAAGTCTTCCTGGCGCAGACATGAGCCACTGTCTTCAAAGGTCTTCAGATCTCATTTTAACCTTAAAAAAAAAAAAGGGCAACAGTTATTTTATTTTATTTTTTATTTTATTTATTTATTTTTTTTTTTTTAAATACATTTTAATGTTTATGATATGAAATTAAGTTTAAAAATTCAATTTATTTTAACAGCCGCAGACGTTAAAAACAAACAGTCTTATTGCATACTGTAGACATTGGGGCTGTTTGTTTTTTGTGTGAAGATCTGCGCAACCACTTTTGTCTGCGCCGCGCAGACATATGCCCTCGTAGATTGTTTGTTTTTTGGAAGTGTGCAGATCAGAAAACGTCTGCGCGAGGTCTTCCTGGCGAAGACATGAGCCACTGTCTTTAAAGGTCTTCAGACCTCATTTTAACCTAAACCAAAAATAAAAACATGGCCATCGTGTAGTTTTTTTTTCTTTCATTTTTTTTTTGTTAAAAATGCATTTTAAATGTTTATAACATGAAATTAAGTTTAAAAATTTAATTTATTTTAACAGTCCGCAGACGTTAAAAACAAACAGTCTTCTTATTGCAGACTGCAGGCATTTGGTCCACCTCTTCTGCCGCAGAGGCTTGCAGATGCGGTCCGCAGATTGCAGATATTTTGATTTCAAAAAAACAAATAGCACCTTAGTCCACCTCTTCTGCCGCAGAGGCTTGCTGATATGATCCGCAGATTGTAGACATTTTGATTTCAAAAAAACAAACAACACCTAAATTTTGAAACCGCAAGTTAGACAATTGCGGCTTGGGCCGCTAGGCAAAAGAAGGAAAAATAGGCCTAAATACAAAACCAAATGAATGGAATGGAAGTTCAAATTGAAAGCATGGATGGTGCTACAAAACCTGTATTTTATATATATATATATATATATATATATATATATATATATATATATATATATAATATATATATATATATATATAATTTAACTTCATGTTCAAGCATTATAATATTACATTACATTATCATTTAGTTATTATAAATAAAATAACCATTTTAATTATTTTAAGGGTTAATGTCATTTTTGGTCACTTAACTTTTGGTTTTGTGTTTATTTGGTCACTTAATTTTTTTTTTTTTTTTAAGTTTTAAAAGGTCATCAAACTTTTGACTTTGTGCTCATTTAGTCACTTAACTTTTGGTTTGATCACTTAACTTTTAGATTTGTACTCATTTAATCACCTAACTTTTAAAATTGTGCTAATTTAGTCACTAAACTTTTTAAAAAAATTTCAAAAGTTTAGTGACTAAATGAGCACAATTTTAAAAGTTAGGTGACTAAATGTGACCAAACCAAAAGTTAAATGACTAAATACACACAAAGTCAAAAATTTAATAACCTTTTAAAACTTTAAAAGAGTTAAGTGACCAAATGAACACAAAACCAAAAATTAAGTTAACAAAAATAACATAAACCCTTATTTTAAAGTTATATAAAATTTAAGAATATATTATGGATGCTATAATTATAAACCATTATTCTGACCCGTCTAATTTATTTAATTGTTTGTAAAATTATGTAAATTAGTTAACCATATGTTTATTTATGTTTTCTTCAACATATTAGATGGACATGTAAAAAGAGTGTTTTTAACCAAAAACTCGGATACCAACTTGTAAATTAGTTTACATGCACCGTTAAATTTAACGTTGTAAATTTAAAGAAAAAAAATTAGATTGTAGTAAGGGGAATATACTATATGTTTAACTTAATTACTAATTATTTTTCATAAATTATGGATAGGGATGTAAACAGGTCGGGGATGGTGCGGGGTTGGCCAACCCCATCCCCATCTCCGACGGGTGCGGGGAATCGAATCTCATCCGTGACCCATCCATGGTTGTATATGATGTATTTTCAAAAATATAAAACATTACTTTTTTATAACAATAAATCACAAATAACATAGTAACTTGTTCGATAATGCAACTAATGTATTGATGAAATGAGAAAAGGAAAACAATAAATTGATTAGTTTGCATATAGTATAATAATTAAAAAAAAAGAATAAGAACATAGTAACTTAAATCGCTTTGTAACGCCCCGTTTCTGGTACGTAATTATTTTGATTAAATATTTATTTTGGAAGAGCTACTCGGCGAGTTGTAGCCCTAACTCGCCGAGTAGATGTCGAGTTAGATGCGGGCTTTAAGTGATCTACTCGGCAAGTCCACGCCTAAATTCGGCGAGTCCACGCCTAAACTCGGCGAGTAGGCCAATCAGGAGGAGACCCTAATCCTTAGGGTTTGCACCCTATTTAAACGTCCTTGCAGCACCATCTCAGCCCCTATCACCCTCAGAGCAATCCTTATCGAAAACGCTAGCCTCCATTGGTGAGTTTGAGTGATAGTTGCCTTGTGAAGGGACTTTTGGTGCACTTTGGAGCAAGTGGAAGAAGGGAGAAGTTGAAGAGATCAAGGAAGGGGACTTAGATCTAGAACACATTCATTTGTGGTTGTCCATTCTGGTAATAAAGTTTCCATCTTGGTTATTTATCTATTAGATCTTGTTTGTCCCTAAATTGTTGCTTTTAAGCCCTAAAACCCAAATCCTTGAAGAGAAACCTTATGGTTGGGTTATACTTCAGATCTGGACTCTCATTAGCTTCTTGAAGTGTTAAGTTTGGTCATATTGGTCATTAAGGTCCCTCTTGATCTTAGAACCCATTAAGAACTTAGTTTGGACATTTGAAGCCTCTAAAGCTATGCATGCACGTAAAGTTTGCAACTTTACGTGATAAGCATGCCCTAGAAGCCTAGATATGTGGTTTGGAGCCGCTGCATGGCTCAAATCAGGTATGTATAAGAAAAGGACTGAATGAACTCGACGAGTAGAATGATGGACTCGGCGAGTCCTATGAAGATAGCCGTGGACTCGGCGAGTTGGATGAGCAACTGGGCGAGTTCGATGAAGATTGCCTTAAGACTCGACGAGTTGTTCTTCAACTCGGCGAGTCAGATGAACTTGGACTTAGTATGTATGCATCGAGGAAGAACGCGTCGAGTCTTCGCTAAGCTCGACGAGTAGACCGGGTGTAGAACTAGAACATATGGAAGGGACTCGGCGAGTTGGCGAGCCAACTCGGCGAGTCCGGTCAACCAGGAAGTTGACTTTGACCGGGGGGTAAAATAGTCATTTTACCCTTAGATTAGTTATCAGTATCTGACTTAGTGTTTATGGAAATTGTAGCCGGGGGGGAGGGGGGTTCCGGTTCAGCAGTCAGGCGCTCAACAAGCAGACTTTTAGCAGCTACTTCGAGGTGGTTACCTTCTAGTAGCGGTGGGTCTAAGGCCACAATGCCAGCCCACCAGTAGGAGTACGTATGATAGATGATTGTCTTTGTGATATCATCTAGGTTTGCTACTACCTGATATGTTATATGCTAGCATGATATGTTGTATGTGATAGTAGTAGAGCTCAGTTGTCAGGACCGAAGGGTAGTCAGACACCCCAGATACGTCTGACAGTATGTGATGATATGTTTGCATGCTGGCTTGTTATGTTATATGCGATAGAGGTAGTAGGAGGGGACCAGTCCCCGAGTTCGGTTGATAGGACCGAAGGGTAGTTCAGGTGTAACACCTCGAATTCCCAGGTATTATTTTATTCTTTTATTTTTGGTAATTGTGAGGAGACTCGGCGAGTTGGAGTCCAAACTCGCTGAGTAGGATTGCGGCTTTGTGCGCGGGTTCGCGTCTGGACTTGGCGAGTCCAAAAGTGGACTCAGCGAGTCCACGCTGTTTAATGAAACCCTAATTTCTAGGGTTTGAGACCTATTTAAAGGGCTTATGGCCGTCATTTGCGGCCACCAACCCCAGAGAGAAACCCTAAAGAGCTTTTGAGCGTTTTGGGAGAGATAAGAGGCCATTGTTGACTTTTGAAGCTTGGTTTGGCAAGGCAAAGGAGATTCTAGCTAAGAGGAGGCAAGGGAGGTGGACATCTTTCAATTTTGGAGCGCAGAGCATCATTTTGGAGGTATATTTTGGCTTCCTTTTCTGTTATTATGATGAACATGGGGGTTTAGGGTTTCTTGACCCCTTTGTTGGTTAGATTTGATGTCAATTTCGTCCCTATTTGTGATGAGGCTTGAAATGGGATCCATAAAGGTCCAGAGAAGCTTTATTCCTTAAGCTTTATGAGTATTCATGGGAGTTTTGACCTAAAGTTATGATATATGGGGCTAAATCATCATTTAGGAGCAAATAGTTGTTGTTTGAGCACCAAGGTTTGGACTTCACGTGATTATCATGCTTGGAGAGGCCAGATCTATGATTGTATGGAACAGATCTGACCTCAGAAGTGAGTTTGAGTTTATGCATGGCATGGACTCGCCGAGTCTGAAGAATAGACTCGGTGAGTAGCATGAAGTTTGCCCGTAATCACTCAGCGAGTGGTCTTGTCGAGTTTAGGGGTCCACTCAGTGAGTCAGGAGAGTCAAGGGGGGGGGGGAACTGAGTCAAGCCGAAACTCGCCGAGTTGTTCTTAAGACTCGGCGAGTTGAGTCGTGGTGGCCCCGTGATTTATGCCAGGTGAAACTTGTCGAGTTAGAGAAGTACTCGGTGTGTAAAGAGAGGATCCAAGGGGGGGTCAGTGGACACGTATAGACTCGCCGAGTCGCCCTAGCGCACTCGCCGAGTCAGGTCAAGGTTGACCGTTGACCTTGTTGACCATTAGGGTTGAGTTCAGTTGTATTTATGAGTGTATTACTTTGTGTGATTAGGTGGAGGCTAGATCACATTTATTCCAAGACAGATATTTACCGAGATACGCGAGGTGAGTCTTCTCACTATACTTTACCTAGTGTGGTAACAGAGTTATGTGATAGAGTATTTTAGAGTTATATTCCAGTGTAATTGCATGTTATTTATGTGCTATGATTTATTGTGATATGTGCTATGCATTATTCAGAGTTACAGAGTTAGGACCTTCGGGTCCACAGAATTAGGACTTTCGGGTCCACAGAGTTAGGACTTTCGGGTCCACAGAGTTAGGGCCAGAAGGCCCATAGAGAGTTGGGGCTGGAGGGCCCTACTGAGACACATAGACCTGAGGGTCAACAGAGTTACAACCTCGAGTGGCTATTATGTGTTAGAGTGGTATTTTGGGAAACTCACTAAGCATTTATGCTTACAGTGTTATGTGTTATGTGTTTCAGGTACCAGTGATGATCGCGGGAAAGCGTCGACATGATTCGTACACACGCACACCGGAGTTTTTATATGTACTTTGATCTTGGGTTTTCTACTAATACAATGTTGATACGATGTTTTATTTATGATTTCGAATGATATTTTATGGGTTACAAAAGTGAAAAATTGTTCAAATTTTTACGGTGTTACAAGTTGGTATCAGAGCCTTGGTTTGAGGGATTCAGATATATCTTCGGGCGTATCTGAACTCAAACTGGGGATTTGAGGAAATTTTTAATAATAATAAAAAATAATAATATTTTTAAAAAAGAGTAAAAAGAGTCTTGAGACAAACAGAGCAGAGTCGTGTGTACGATCAGCCAGCACCCGAACGGTGATTTCCCAAAATACACTCATAATAAGTGATTATCAGATATGTTATGTATGCTATATGATGAATTACGATATGCATGCTAGAGTAGACTAGGTATTCTTATTAG